AGCAGTGCCGTGAAGTCACGGAGACTTCATGCATTAAACAGCACCCGGCGCGAGGTGATGCAATAGAGGATCGGTGGCGCACGGTGAATTTCGACAAACGACTGTGAGTTCTCATCCCATGATGTGTTTACTACTTCATTCCAAAATAACTTAGTTTTTTTTGTTATTTATTACGCTTTACAGTGTAGACATAAACAAAGTTTTGGGTTGTTTTTTTTTGCGAAGTGTGATATGTTGTGAAGTGACTTGACGTTTGGCGTGTAATGAAAAAAACACGTGTGCGTATGCATGGTCATTTCGCACCTGTCCCTTTCAACAGAGAAAACGTTTCCTCAAGGGGGAGGGGGGGTGGGAGAAATGTTAAATTTGTGCCGGCCCCATATGGCCGTGTGCCGGTGTTCTAAAAAATCGATATTCTGCTGTTGGGACTTTTCATCATGGAGCGCGGACACGCGAGCGCTCACCAAAGCACCTTGCGCTGCTTTTGTTTTTTTCCCATTACTTTTCCAGCCAGGTTTCAGCTCAGGCTCACATTGCTTGCATTTAAATTGGAGTATGCTCGCACCTTGATATGTTTTAAAATGTTTCGCTGGCCCAGGTGCCTCGGTGTGTAGAGTGCTCGACCTGCAGTTGGTTTTATGCAAGTTCAAATACCAGCCTGGGATCACTTCGGCCCATTGTTCTTCCATGGTGGACTAATGGACTGTCTCTTTGTGGTAAGTCAGCAGTGGTCCTCCTATAGTTTGACTGACTCCTGCCCTAGAAGTGTGGAATTTCTACTGCTGGCTTAGGTTTACCTATAGATGAATATTGTCACATCGCTCAATTTAACAGAAAGACAGTTGGCTTTATTTATATTTACTCGTATGTAATAGACCTGCAACATGAATAGAATGCCGTTACATACGCAGCGTAGACATTGTGATACTTATTTTCCTTGAATTATATTTTACATTGCGTTTGAACAATCAAAAAATTATTGTTTGAAGTGAAGTTGTACACTGTTGAATTTGATTCTCAGGACTGTGTAAAAAAACAAGACCTGAACACTTAACTCAACTCAAAATCAGTACCATCAACCCAAGCGGTGGTCTCTGACCTCTGGAGAGCATTCTGGATTCGTGGTTAGGCACGAGTGTTTGTGGGCACCCCAAAGTGTGAGAATGTATGCTGAGATAATTATGACCATAGATCATTAATCTCGGTAAGTTTTTATGTTGTTGACATATTTACAAAGGGAATAACGTTTCGTGGGCTGCCACACACACACTTTTGCAACACACTTTGACGTAACTTCCCTGCCCCCTCCCCCTCCAAACCTGTGCAATTGACCAAAGTGATTTAGGATATGTGAGTAGAACTTCTCACATAGGGCCCGCCTGGGACGTTAGATTAGTTGGCGTGTAAGAACCTTTAATTTGATTTGGCCGAGTCTGCGGCATGAGATTCGCCATCTCCTTCACACTTGTCATGTGGAGGCTAGAGATAGCATCGCCAGGGGCAACGCGCAATGGGGTTTGTCTGCAAGAGAAGGGCTTGCTGGCTAGCTGCACGCCTTTATATTTGTCACACTGTTGCCACCAACGTTATGAGGCTCTTTTATAGCCACCACACCATATCCATCTTCTCTCCTCCCTAGTGTACCCTGATGCCATTGCTTTGCCATGCCGTCGGGTGTCCCCTGGCAGTGTTGCGGAGTAACGTGTTACAGATATCGTGTTGGCATTATTAGACTCTCCAAAGGTTCTAGTTATCCTGTACTATTACTCTATTTTTGCTGTAATCTGATTACCATTGCTTCGTGTGTGCCCTGTGATTACTTTCCTCCCAAAAAAACTAGTGGAATTGGGAACTTGTCATGTCAGCAGCTTCAGTTCATATGAGAGCAGCAGCAGCCAATGTGTGCGCAGTGGATTATACCACACAGCTTGCTTGTGTTGTGTTGTTATATCGGAGTTTAAAGAAAGCTGGCATGTGTTAAATTTAATGAAAACTCCAAAAAAATCTGTGATTTCAAACCTCTTGGGTGCCTTAGCCCGAGCGGAGGCCACACATCCCGCTTGTTGCTAGAACTGTGATGACATTCTGAAGGTGGTGTCCCTGACGCTCGTGCAAGCTGATTTTTCTGCCATCCCCTGCGAATCCCCAGCAAGGCACTGCCAGCGTGAGATAAGGGGATACAGGGAGAGGCGTGCCTTGTGGCCTGCCGTGCCACGCTGCAAGCCAGCACGGCCACAGACGCAAGCTGGGATATTGTTTCGCCAATGGCGGACGTGAAGGTTGCAGTGGCCTTCTTGACAGTTGATGCCATCGATGTCCTTCACTGGGCCTCTGGGTCAGTAGGAGCAGCTGTGGTGATGCAGCACACTTGGTGGCAGAGGAGGCCACGCACGGATGGTCTTGTCAGTGATTTATGCCTTTTGTGCTTCTGCCATTTTTGAAGGGAGCCGGCTACTTTTTAAAAAGATTTTCAGACTCAACTCGACAAGCTCGAAGACGAGGACGTCTTTCTTTACTTGGGGTTCCTTTGAATTAATAGGAGGAGAGGTACTTGAAGCTTGGAGTCCTTCGCTAACTTTTCAAACTGTAATTCCAGAAGGGCACTTTCCTGGGGGGAAACAGGGGCAGGAGCAGAGGGAAGCCTCAGGGAGAAGGATGCGGACAGGGCAGACTAAAACGTAGACCAGGGGTCGGCAACCAACATAACAAAGAGCCATTTCTTTTCGAATTTGGTAAAAACCCGTATTGCAAGAGCCGACATGCATGCGGGTACGAGACTGTGGTCCTTAATTAAAAGAGTCACGAAACAGTCCTTAAAGGGCCACATGCGGCTTTGGTGCTGCAGATTGCCAACCCCTGACCTAGGTGATGAACAGTGACGGGCCATCGGGAGCCCCGGGTGTGGAAGCAGGGGCGGGCCTGAGGCATTTTGCAGAGGCATGGTGCCACATGGTGCCAGATGACCTCAGTTCTGTGATTCTGGGATGTGGTGCAGAATGGTTTTCATTTGTCGTGCAGAGCTTCTGAAGCAAGAAGAAGACGGGTGAAATCGGAGCTCCCCGTGGAGGCTTCTGGAAATTGAGGCTGCCTTGATTGTTCCTGAATCATAACGGGGTTAGAACATAACGGGGTTAGATCACGGGTGTTTCAGAAGACATCCAGGGTATTCTAAGCCATTCTGGGCATGAGAGCCCGAAACAAAATTCATTCGCCAACAAAGGCTCAAGATGGAGTCATTGGATTCCATCACTGGAACGATGTGGAGGGGCGACTGTTTTCTTGGTAGATTTCAAGGGACGCCTACCCGCATCTAACCGTTTCGGAGGGTCACAGGCATTATCGGTGCTTTGCACTGTACGATCACCACCTCAATTTCAGTGTTGTACCATTCGGGCTCAGAGGGTCACCAAGCAAATTTACAAAGATCTCGGTGACCATAATTGGGAGTCTCGGGAGCCATAAAGTTAATGTGTGTGTTGAATGGTCAACCTGTTAATCAGAGTAGCATCTTGGCCAGATGTAGGAAGAATGGAATCGCCTGTGCGTAATAAGATAAACCGCATCTAAGAAGTGGTCAGGTCACTTAAAGCTCAAGAGTGCCGAGCTTAAACCACTGAGAACCTGGGTTTGAATCCGGGCAGCCACCTCTGATTAAACCGGGATTTCAACTGGAGTTAGTTGATGTTCTTTGCCCAGCCACCAATGGCTGCATAGAAAAACCCATCGCATTCAAATTGGTTCTTCGCTTGATTTCGCTAAACTATAATTGGGTTTGCTGGTGCTTGAGGCTCCCGCACAGGCATGTAGGTACCTGCTGGGCTCAAGTAATAACCACTAATGTTAAGAACTGTCAGGGCCTTTACCATACCTGCGCCCTGGTTTATAAGGGACCACGCACATAATGGCTAATGTAAGTCTCATCGGCAGATCGTACTTGACTTAATGTGAGATGAGGGCATCGGTAGGAACAATATCTATATGGTGAGTTTATCAGTACTTTTCGATTTAAAGCTTTCGTGACTGCAGGGATTCTTCTTCTTGGTTCTTTCGGTAAAGTCGCGTAGAAGGGAAGTAATAAAATAATAAAAATAAAACATAATAAAATAATTCTCACGACGTTTCGGCCACAACGCAAGCAGCCGTCCTCGGACGCTGTCTTCTCGACAGACTTGTTTCTGCACCTGAGGACGGCTGCTTGCGTTATGGCCGAAACGTCGTGAGAATTATTCTATTATGTTTTATTTTTATAATTTTATTACTTCCCTTCTACGTGACTTTACCGAAAGAACCAAGAAGATTCATCAGTACTTTCACCTTTAAAGCGAGTGGTGCCAATGTTCCTGGAAGAAGTGTCCTACAGTACTTTGAAAGGACAAATATACAGTATTGTGTTGTATGTTTTTAAGAATATGAGCATTGTAATTGTGGCTGTCTAAATATATTTGGAAATTTTAATGCAAAAGTATAATTGTTTCTATATATAATTCATTAAATGTTTGAATGTGATATGGACTGTAAAACCAGAAGCATTTCTGGTCCACTCTTGCACAAAGGCGGTGTGCCTTTTACACATTTCCGCATGCTATTAAAAGCACAGCACAACCCAAAAGCACGTCGGAGAATTACACGGCGAAAACTTACACAACAGTACTCACTCTTTCAACCCCAGGGGAAGTGATGGGCGGATTCCTCCCCTAACCAGGATTTGAACCTGAGCCCTTCTAAATGCTGTGTACGGTTACAGTTGAGCGCCGTAACCATACTGAGCATCAGCAGGGCACATAACGCCAGTGCCGCTTATGCTGTACGTGGATCGCGCTGGCACTGCTGCCACTGCTGCTGCTGTCACCTCCGCTGCTGCTGCTGTCACCGCTGCTGCTGCTGTTACCGCTGCTGCTGCCACCGCTGCTGCTGCTGTCACCGCCGCTGCTGCTGCTGCCACCGCTGCTGCTGCCGCTTCTACTCCTGCTTCTAATTCCAGGATGTTGCCCTTGCCGTAGGGCTGCTGGCCGGGACGCTGGACACTGCGTCTAGCGGGAAAGCGGCCCCCTACCGCATCCTCTACCAGAGCCACTCTCAGCCCTGCTGGTCCATAGCCACAGGTGAGACAGTGTGAATCTGGAGTCACCACCGCTTGTGATCCTGTACTTGGGTTTAAAATAAATATTGTTATCATTTTCATCCCTTTTGTTGATCGTAGTACGGTATGTAAATGTACTGGGGTGTTGTTCAAAATTGTCAACAGCTTCGAACATATTCACCGGTAAAGAGGGGCTCTCTAAAGCTCCCACGGGTGGAGGTCCTTTTACCAGTACAATAGTGGCGTGTTCATGCGTTGTGTCGAGGCTGCAACCTCTACCTTAACCTCGCATTATTTGGTGATGCTGCTGCAGCGTCAGTGGGGTGCCAGCACAATTAACAACTCGATACATTAATCAATAACACTGCCTTCAATAGAAAAAGTATACAACAGGCAACGTTTAGGCCGATGACCCTTCTTCACAGCACATAGAGGCCATAAAGGTAGTAGAGTGGATAAGAGTTGGTGACCTGGTAATAATTATATGATAAAAATAAAATTCCTGATGAACTATTTTTACATCACCAACTTAGCGTTGCATTTTCTGGGTTACAGGCACCCATCCCCCACCTCTCCTGCCCAGTAAGCTAAGGCAGACGTAGATTCTCACCAATTTAGTTTTAGCAACATTTTATTGTGTTTGTAACGCATACCTGGGGCTTAACCCCACTCCCAGTCTAGCATCCGGCTACCGAGTAAATGTTGATGATGAGTAATCCCTGAGCGTTTCCATTGTTCTTGTACCTTGGCTGGCTGGGAATGGTGGCCTCTTCCTATTGGAGGTGAGGATGGTGGGTGATCCATAAATAATCAGACTCCCAGCCTCTGCAGGTCTACTTTGTGGTCAGTACAGCCACTTTGTTACTGCCCTATCTGTGATCAATTTCAAGTGTCGTCATCCCCTCGTGTGAATTATTATTTTTGCCTCCGCCGGTTTTGTCTCGGCACGCAAAATACTCGGTAAAGAATTGGACAAATATCCTGGCAGGAATACGAATAAAAGATTCTTGAGACTCAACGAGGCTCTCGTAAATAAAGGCCACAATTCTCGCAAAAAAATCTTACAAGTTTATATATAATACATAGAGTGGAAAGTGATGGGTAAGTGGTGAGCGCACTTTGTCCGAAACTTGCTGACCTGGATTCGATTTCTGGCCACGGCTGACATCGGTGGCGATTACCTGGACTGGTCATGGCGTAGTCGTGGATTGACAAAGGGCTGTGGAAACAAATCTGAGGCTAACGAACAGCATTACCTCCAATGGATGGCATGACTTAAAATGTTAGTCTGCTATTTCTGTTTATGTAGGCACTGTGGCAAGGATGGTTGTCCTTTTTTTTCCCGTTGCGGATACAGGCTCTAAATACTATGATTAAAACAAATCCAATGCTCTCTAGTATATGATTAAGTTGTTTTTAACAACCCAGAATTTGCACTTTACTCAAAGAACAATCATATGACCCCAAAGCAACATTTAAATTTATATTAGTCACATGGAAAATATCATGGAAACATACTTCCCCATGTCAAACCACATTTCCGACGTTCATAAAGTATGCATGCTTTTCTGCATTTAACAACACCACACTACATATACTGTGCCCATGCTTGTAATTGTGGGTCTCATCAGAACTTCATTGGAATAATTCGACAACTGCAAATATCGACTCTATTGGTTCCCGCCTACCCCCCGGCATGAAGCAAATCGTTGCAATCCACTGTATGTGCCAAGCATTGGCTGCTGGTAAAGGCTCCCATTCATTGGCATTCGGTTGCTGGGTGTATCACGTGCTCGGAGGCTTGTTGTGGTTTTGGAAAGCGTCACACGCCGCCACTGAGTTATCCCCTTTCTGGATCTTGCCGTGGTAATGCCCTCCCGCTCGACGCCTTTTTGCCTAACAGAATTATGTCGAACTGCACCTCCGATTTACCACGGTTGGCTACGTACGGTGGACATACATACGTACGGTGGACATACATACGTACGGTGGACATACATACGAACGGTGGACATACATACGAACGGTGGACATACATACGAACGGTGGACATACATACGAACCACTGTGTGCTGCGATGCTCTCAATGGACTGGGAAGATGTGGTGGGAAAAAATTGCACTCCTTTAGTGGAGTACCCATACTGCTGCATTAAAAGTCAAAGGTGATGTTTTGGGCAATGTTAATTGTTCACGGCGCATAGGGAGGCCAGAGAGGAAGAGACGTCGACTCTGCTGTACTACTGTTGACTGTTAGGAAATGAAGTGGGGCACGGTCAGGACCCATTGTCAGAAAGGACGACGGGCGCTGATGCACGAGACGTGTGTGGAAATGGCAGCAAAATGTATTCCCTGTTGTTGACCACATTAAGAAATTGGAATGGTGTAAGTTATACCACCTAAAGTGGTACCGACAAGTGGGCTGTTTGGCAGACTTGAAGCAAGGTTTTATTTCCAGCCATTACAAGAGAAACTCTGTTTTAATTTTATAGTCCAAAGTGAGCTCAAACCGCAAGCATGGACTATTCCCAGCACTATTGGCAGCCCTGATCCAGTGATGAAAATTCAACATTTAGTTAGCCGAAGCCAGCTCGACCCGTAGGATAACCACAGTCGACTTTCCACTGATTAGTACTTGTTTTATTGACCCATGGGGGATGATAAGCGGAGTCCACCATTGACCAGGAAGTGACTTCGCAATCATCCGATTGGATGTTGAGCGCTCTAGCCACAGTGCCACTCACTTAACAGGTGCTTAAGGCAGCTTTATTGAGAGTAATTCAATAGTTTTGTTTACGTTAATTACAAAACATCCATTTAAAGTAACTTTAAAAAAATATCTAATTAATACTCACTCAATCCACTCCCAATGTAATAGGATCTTTGCATCTATGGAAATAGTGTTCACGGGCTATCAAGTCTCTGAGATGAGATTTGAACCTCGCAAAAGATGAGTAGTTACGAGGCCACTGGTGTGCATAAGATAAAAAACAGCCCATTCACCAGAAACGAACCAATGTGTCACACACTTAAGCGGTTGTGCTTTCGCTAAGTTGTCCCCACCTGAAGAAGGACACATGTGTTGCGCCCGAAACGTCGTGATTTAATTTATTTGAATTTTTTACCTACGTGACTTTACTGAAAAAACCAAAGAGTTTTGAATCCTTGCAGTCACGAAAACTTCAAATGAATTGACCAGAACTGGAGCGGACTGACACATACGGTCATTGCAGTTACTGGGGAAGAGTTGTATGATGTACATGATCATCATTATCATCAATAGTGTATCCACAGCTGGATGAAGGCTTCCCCATGCCTTCGCCATTCCTTAGAGTCATGAGATGCCACAATCTGTCTGCCTCCCACACGCAGCTCATCTCATCACTCCTCCTCTGCAGCATTCTCCCTCCCGGGAATGATCTCTCTATCGACTGCCATTCTGTCACCAGTCTCATCCATCGACCATCATCCATTCTGGTCCTGCTCAAACCCACTTATTTTCCTTTGCCGTCAATATTATGTCTGTAATGTATTCCCTGTTCCATCTGTCCCTCTGTCAGTCGGTGTACTTCCAAACATGCATCTCTCCATGTTTCTTTTGGTACTTTTCATATTTTGATCCTTTTTCCCTGTCAATGTGCATGTTATTGATCCATATGTCATCGTGGGTAATGTGCACTGATTGAACTCTTTTTGTAGGCACATCGGAACGTTGATTTTCCAAAAGCACATCCATCCCATCGTTACCACAACATTACATCATCACCATCTTCCTTCAGTTAGATTATGTAACTGTTACACAGTCAGCACTTGATCTTGAGGACTGTCCTTAGAGCATGAACAATGGAAAATAGAGCACCGTTGTGGCGAGATGTTACCTTCCTCACCTGGTCTACAGGAGGTCGTGGGTTCGATCTCGACGCTCATGCCTGCTGTATATTTGGAGTTCGCATGTTCTCCCCGTGGTCATGCAGATTTTTCTCCAGGTCCTCCGGTTTTTCCCTCTACATTTAGAATCAACATGCGTTTAGAAAATTTTGACTGTTATAAATGTATACGCGATAAGCCACGATGTTGAGCTATCATTTGTGGCCAGGTCGCTGATGAAAAAGAGCTGTATGGCTCAGTGGGCCTTACCTGGTAAAATAAAAATAGTAATAAGTGTTTACCCTTTTAACTGGCAACAAAACTGACACGTTTATACAAAGGATCATGTTTGCATTAACCACAACACTTGCGGTCAAAATGCAAACAAAAATACAACTCTGATAGTGAATGCACTGTCCTTGAAATCGATTGGTCCACACCCGAGACAGCTTTTCTTAGAGCCTAGTCTCACATGGTGTTGGACCAGATGGCGCCAAAAGTTTAGAATGCGGTGGGACTGTGTAACCATGTAGGTTTGCCCAACCATATGTTCTATTCTTTCCAATAAATTTAAAGCAGCTTGTATTTTTAGTAGACAATGGGTAAGGCTCACTTTTGGTAATGTAATTCGATCTCATTGGGTTATTCGTTAGCAAGGGTTCTAATGGTTTAAAAGGCCTTGAATGTTAAGTGTTAAAATGTTCAGGAAACCGTGCTTTGCCATTATTTAAGTTATAATTCACCAAAACCCAGACAGAGCACTCCATTCCGATCAGAGTTATGAGTTTAAACCCCTGTCAAGGGATTAACTCCATCCTTTATCCTTCCCAGATGGTAGAATTAAGACTTAATTGGTGAGAAATCTACAGGGGTCATCCTCGACATGAGAAGGCGGAATTTCTACCACTGGCTCTGGACCACCAATTGTGGTGCGCCCCCAACCCTCTTGTGTGGACCAACGTCATTTTGACTTGCCTGTATGTTGTATCTATAATCTGTATGTGGAACTTCTTTCGCACCCTACGTAGCTAACCGTGCTTATTGGCGGTGCAGGTAGTGCAGCAGTTAGTGCGCCGCGCTATGAACCTGGCAACACGAGTTCAATTCCCGCTCGCGCTCAACACCAGGGACAATTATTTTAACCGGTCCTGTGTGTC